GCCTCTGATACTAAGATGCTGCAATTTAAAGGAGAGGTCTGTCACCACAGACAGGTTTTGAAGACAACCCTTCGTCATTCAGGAGGCTAAGGAGATAGGGTTATTTCAAGTTCAAAGCCAAAGCTACAGAGTGAGACCCCAACTTAACATGCCAAAAATAATGATGGCTCAACCACTAAAGGATAGCTTTGTGTCATTGTTTTCACTAAGTTGCCCTGGCTGGCCTAGAACTTGCTATGCAGACAGGGCTGTTCTTGAAATCTGAGATGCTGCTGCCTCTGCTTTCAAGGTATTTGGCTTAAAGGTGTGCACACCATGCCCAGCCTTTTATTTTTATTTCTTCTAATGTGTGTAGATATTTCATCTGCATGTGTGTCTGTGGACCAAGTATGTATCTGGTACCTGAACAGGGCAGAATTGGACATCAGATCCCCTGGAACTGAAGTTACAGACAGTTGTGGGCTTCAATGGGGGTGCTGGGAATGGAACCCAAGTCCTCTGGAAAAGCTATCTCTCCAGCACGGCTCCCTCCTCCCCAAGTCTTTTAATCCCCATCACACACATGATTGCTGCTGGCATACGTATGGTTTTTGAATGCGTGAAATATATATTGGTTTTTCCAAACAGGGTTTCTGTGTATTGCTTTGGAGGCTGTCCTGGAACTCGCTCTGGAGACCAGGCTGGCTTCAAACTCACAGAGTTCCGCCTGCCTCTGCATGAAAGAAAGAATTTTTATCTGTAACTCTTATCTCTTATCAGGTTTTTTTTTTTTTGTTTTGTTTTGTTTTTTTATGAAACAAGGTCTCCAGTTTCCCTGCTTGCTCTTGAATTCTTTACGTAGCCAAGGAATACCTGAACGTCTGAATTCAGAGTCCCCTCCCCTATCTCCCTTGAACTCCTGGTTCTCCTGCCTCTACCTTCCAGGTGCTGGAATCATAGGCATGCTCCATGGCATCCAGCTTTTTGGGTACTGGAGCTTCAATCCAGGATTTCATGCATGCTACAAAAAACAGAGTCAAATGAACACTAAGTCCATCCCTGACCAGGTGGCTTCTTAGGAAAGAAATCCTTAATAACTGACTTGCAGATCTTACGTTCCTCACTGAGGAAGGCTGTCAGGCTCCACCCTTTCTGCCTACACTTTCATTTAGCTAGTTAGGTCAGCGTTTTGCCCTTCACCTCAGACCTTTCTTGATACATTCCACCTTACACTGGTACTAGTTCAAGGAACCATTGACAACGTACTTGAATCCTTGGACCAACAATATGACAAAACATATAATATCAAGTGTTGTTGGTAGAGTTTGTAAGGACCAGGGCCACCTCCTGAGCCGCAGGCAAATAAATGCTCTACCTCTGAGCTAGTGCCCCTGGCCCTTGCTTGTTAGGAGAGTTTGATAAATGGCAGTAGAGATGAGTAACAGGTATTTCTTGACAGTAAAAGAACTTTTCTCTCATGAGCTCTTTCTCTACTTTGTAGAATCCCCCCCCCTTTTTTTTAAATCTTTAAAAAGGGAAGCAGAGGCTAAGGAGATGGTTTGGTAGCTAAGAGCACCCCGGGGTTAAATTCCCAGCACCCACAATGTTTCTAACTCCTATTTCAGGGTATCTGACACCCTCTTCTGGCCTCAATGGGTACTGCATGCTTATGGCAAATCTAAGTACATGGCAGGCAAAATACTCATACATGTAAAATGAAAATAAATGTTTTCCAAAGATTTCTAAAGGGAAGCAAAGTTGTTTTACAATTTTTCCTATATTGTTTACCTATTGTGTGGGGGGGTAGAGGGGCAGTGGGTGTGCCTGTGCCACAGCCCACATGTGGAGGTCAGCAGATTTGAGGCGTACAGTGCTCCCCTTCCACCAAGTGGGTGAGGACAGAACCCCCGCCCTCAGGCTTGGCAGCAAGCTCCTTTGCCCGATGAACCACCTCACATGAATCGTTTGTGTTCTGAGATGTCACTTTGTTCTCTTTCAAGCATTTTAGGAAGCAATCTTGGGTTTGGGAGGTTTTGTTTGTTTTTGTTTTTTTCTTGTGTTCTTGTGCTTTGAGCCGTGAGTTCTTTGGTTCAAGGATTGTCCTCTGTCAATGGAAAGGGTGGTTTTATTTTTAGTTTATCTCAGAGTGATTTTTTTTACGTTTATTTATTTTGGGGAGGTGTGACTGTCAGAGCGCATGTGGAGGTCAGAGGACAACCTTGAGTAGGCTCTCTCCTTCCATCACGTGGGTTCCTGTAACCTAACTGGGGCCATCTCACCGCCCCGTTCCTTAGCACTTTTGGGCCCCCTCTTCTTTTGAGGCAGCGGCAGTCCCGGGATGGTTCTTCTCAAAAGACAGACTCATGAAATAAGGAATCAAATCATCTCACAGGCTGGAAAGATGAAAAAGGGCAATAAAAGGCAGACATTGGATATGAGTTAGGTCTGACTCAGTTCTGCAGAGGTGTGAGGTGACAAAGGGGATGTATTATTGTATAATAACTCCATTGAGGGGTTGAGGCATCAGGAAGAAAATTAAACTACTGATGATCCCAGAGCTGACTCAAGGCTCTGGAGATTCAGTGACAGGAAAAGGCATGCATGGTCCCTGCCTTCCTACGGGAAGGATACTCAGACATGCAAGCACGATCAAACGGATAGGGCATTTTAGGAAGATTGTAAGAAAACAAAAATTTTACCCACGAAAGCTGAGAAACGATCACTCAGCACTGTAGCCTATGAAGCTGCTTTTACTGCTCTGAAGGTCATATGAGCTATTATTTACCCTAATCAAAGCCTGTCTCACTTTATATACACACCACTAAGGTTTTTTTTTTTTTTTTTGCTGCTTTCCTTAAACTGGAGGATACATTATAGAATTATTTTTTGAGATTCTAAATTACACAGGAAGTGGCATGCACACCTTAAGTTCCAGCACTCCAGAGGCAGAGGAAGGCAAATCTCTTTGATTTAGAGGCTAGCCTGGTCAACATGGCAAATTCCAGGCCAGCCACGGCTATACACCCACACCCTGTCTCAACAAACAAAAAGCAAAAAACCAACAATAGATTCTAGATTACTATTTGAGCACTGTGAATGTTCCCCACTTCCCTCTCTGTACCTCCCCCACCCCAAAACCTAGAGCAGGTAGACAAGTTGAACTGCACCCTTAACACTTGGCTGTGATTTTAAAGATATATTACTGTTTTACTTTTTGAGATAGGCCTTCCACGAATGCATCTTGCAGTATCACAAGATCCAAAAACTAAAGAGAATCTCAGCACAGCACACAGACAACTTATAGACAGACTTCTCAGTAGTATGCAGACTTTCAGATCTTGGACTAGCAAGCACTAGACCCATAAGGTCATTGCGGTATGTAGGAGAATTTTCAGTTTGTAATGATAGCAGAGTAGAAAGTCAACAGCTCTTGATATCCTTGCTACCCTATGCCAGTGACCACTGATGCTAATGGGGGACATTTCCTACTAACTATTCATTGATTTAAGAAAGAAAAAAAAAGTCGTATTTTCCAGAGACTGGGCAGGAGATAAGATGTCAAGAAGTAATAAGGAGTGAAATGAAGGAGCAGAATACAAAGGAACCCAAAGAGAAAACATTACAGTGATGATATTTTTTTCCTCCTGTGAATGCAGATGGACAGCAAAATTATAGCAGTAATTGCAGTCTACATTTCACCAGATACGTATGGCCTTGGGGAGTCAGAAGATGGGGGAGAAAAAAAAAACTGAACATGCAGTCTCATTGGGAGCTTTGGCCAAGGGCATTCACTCCTTCTGTGCCTTAGTTTCCTTAAAGGGTGAAAAAGTTCATTTGCTCGTTTCTGTCGCCGGGAAGATGAATGAGATAAGGCTTCGGCAGCACCCAAAACTGGTCAGGAAGAAATGTGCTGTGTGGACGCCAAGCTGTACTATTATTATTGAACTGTGTCTCCTGTTGGGATGAGTCATTTGCTGCAAAGCCGTAGAAACAATTCCAAGCGTGATGAAGGCTCAGGGGCAGTAAGAAGCAAGCAGGGCGCTCTGAACTGGTGCCAAGGGAGGTCTCACTTGCTGTGAACTCCTCCTTTGTTCAAAGAACAAGGGGAGGGGGTGTCAGCCCCCCCAAAAGCTACGCAGAGATGTATTCCTATGGACAGACCTGAAAAACCTACAGACAATTCGAATCCAGGCTTTGCCTTTTTTTTTTTCTACCATAACCCGGGGCGCAATAACCTTTGTTCCTTTATGCTTCTTTTTCCCCCTCTGTGAAATGGGGACGATCGCGGTTCCAACAGGGTTATTTGGGATTTCAGGGTCCACCATCTCAAGGATTCCATAAAGTAAGTTGCTATGGTCATAAATGTGAGAGATAGAGAGAACGGAAATTCACGTTGATGATCAAGTGCATCTTTTTAAGAAAGGAAGAGGAAAAGACAAGTTTTTCTAAATTATTATATGACTCGAGAGCCTAGGAAGAAAAGGAAAACAAATAAACAAACAAACAAAAAACCAAACAAACTCGTTTGAGTCGGTCCCATTTCACCGGTCAGCGTCCACTCGTGGACCCTCCGATAATTTGCCACACACCAGGAAAAAAAAAAAAACCTTCCTGCAAGCAGCTTTCCATTTCAGAGCCGGGCGTCTCTTGGAGAGGCCCCGGGCTAGGCAGGAGCTCTTACAAAACAGCTCCGGTCCGGAGCCGAGCCCTCGGGGCGCCGGCGGGACCCGACCCCGGAACCTTGGCGCGGGCGAGCGGGCGGGGCGCGGGGGAGGGCTTTGGCGGGGGCGCGGCGCCGCTTCGCCCAGCCTCCGAGCGAGCGAGCGAGCGAACGAGCGAGGGAGAGCAGCGCGGGCCGGCGGGCGGGCGGGCGGGCGGCCGCGGAGGATGCCGAGGGGCGGCGACGCGGGCCGGACTCAGCCGGGGCGGCGGGGAGGGCGCCGCCCGAGGGGGTAGGGCGGCCGCGGGGGCGCGCTCGGGCCGGGCCGCGCGCCCTGCGCTCGGTTCGCTCGCTCGTTCGCTCGCTCGCGCCCTCCTTCCTCGGCGGCGGCGGCACAAGGCGGCGGCGGCGGCGGCCGGGAGCAGACATGGCGGCCGACCTGAACCTGGAGTGGATCTGCTCGCTGCCGCGCTCCTGGACGTACGGGATCACCCGGGGCGGCCGCGTCTTCTTCATCAAGTGAGCGGGCGGGGGGAGGCGGCGCGGGGCGGCGGGAGCGAGCGGGCCGGGGAGTGGGGAGGGGGGGTGGCGCCCCGTGGGTCGCCCCTCGCGCCGCTCAGCCCCTTTCCCTTCTCTCCCCGGCAGCGAGGAGGCCAAGAGCACCACCTGGCTGCACCCGGTCACCGGCGAGGCCGTCGTCACCGGGCACCGGCGGCAGAGCACAGGTAGGGCGAGCCGGGGCTGCGGCTCACGGCCACCTGGCGGGGTTGGAGGTGCCCCGGGCTCCGCGTGAGTGAGTCCCGGGGCGCCTTTCTTCTCTCGCCTTTGCATCAGCGCTTGGCGACGGCGCCCTCTTCCTGCGCCCCGGTCCCCATCCGTGCCCCGACGCCCCCCGAGCACGGCCGACGCCCCTCTCGCTCCCGGCTCGGCCTCCCCGCCTCCCCCCAGCACCCTCGCGGGAGTCCTCACCCGCTCCCCGGACCCCAGCACCCCCGCGCTGAGATGGTCCTGCATCTTCGCCCCGCTCCCCAGAGAGCCGCCGCCTGCCAGGCAGCTCCCTCCTCCAGGATCCTCCACCTCCTACTTCTCCTAGGTGGGACTTGTGGGTGGGTGACTGATGGAGGAGTTAGGGGTGCTGCGACCCCCCCACCCCACTCCGGTGACCCAAACGCCGGTGCGTCTCCTCCTGCCACCCGAGGAGCCCGCCGGAGTCAGGACGCTGCAGCCAGTGATCCGGGCTTAAAAGTCCCCGGCAGCCGCAGCCACGCTCCACGTACCGCCAGCAGGCGGTGGGCGAGCCAGGGCGGTCCCGCGTGGGGGCATTCGGGGCCCCAGTTCCGCGGGGAAGCGCATCACCGATTGCTTTGGTAGCTTCCTTGAATGCCACGCGCGAGTTGAGCTGGAGGAGGGCTTGCGGTGTTTTAGTGCTGGTCTGGCTTGCTTTTGTCATTCTTTGTTTACATTCACCCAACTTGTTTGCCTGCTACGTCTGAGTGTTCCCCGGGCTGGGCCGTCTCTATGCCGGGCTGTTGCAAAGGCTCGAGAACCCGGTCGAAGGTGAGGCCGGTTTCAGCCGTCCTCCTCGGTACTTTTCTCCAACCGCGAGGTTCTTAGGAATCTCCTGTTAAAGTTGCCAGAAGGGTGAACAAACCTGCCTTTTCTGTCAGAACGCTGGAGTTCGGTGAAGTGACTAATAATGTGTCCAAATTTGCAAGAGCGTGGAGGAGGAAAGGGAAGGCTGCTGTGGCAAGCGTGGTGAGGTTACATTTTTAGGGCATTTCTGACTAATAAACCATTGCTTTTCCGAACTCCCTGCTCAGGGGAGCTTCAGCCTGTTTTATACACATACTGCAACTCTGATAGCCTCACTGCTTTCGTGGATATGGACGCATTTATTTCATGGAAGCCAATATGGGATTAAAGTAACTTAACCCAGTCATTCTGTGGCATTATTTTTGGTTATTTGTGACACCAGTCTTCCTGATTGCCCTTACAGACTGAATAAAGTAATAACAGTCACATGCCAGAAATATCTCATTCTCTGGTGTGATTCCACATTTATCTCTTTATTTACTTTGGTTTGCTTTACTTTGGTTGGGCCCTGGTTCTGTCCACACATCGATGACTTTTCATTTTGGAGATGGGTTAAATCCAAGCCACTTGTCATCATAAGTACCGTGTGGCATATAAAGATAAAGTCGCTCACCTAAATCGTTCCCAATGTTATGACTTGAAACCTCACATCTCTTAAGGTCAAGTGTATTGAAACATGGTGTTTACATATTCAGTTACTTTTCTCGCTAATTAAGCACTTGAGTTCTTTTCCTACTAGATGAAAACCTGGATGGATTCGGTTATGCCACTGAAAAACATGTTTTTAAATAGACAAAATATACTTTAGAAAGCCAAGTGCTTCCTGTTTGGGATTTTTGCCAACCAGTGATGGGTGTTTTACCTGGACTAGAAGACTTTGATTTTGGGAGGTGCCAGCGCATAGTCCTTTTCCACCCCAATCATTAAAGGGAATACTCATGTCAGGTCACCTCAAATATTGCTGGGACTTTCCTGGTGGCTTTGAATGTGAATTATCATCTTCCAAATAATGTTGTTTTGGCCAGTCACGATTTTGGGTAGACAACTCCTTAAATGACTGTAGGTAATCATGAAGACAGGTAAGATGGGTTTAAGCATATTTTGCAATCCCACTGAAGTAATACTAATTGAAATATGTGTTTTTTAGATTTACCCACTGGCTGGGAAGAAGCATATACTTTTGAAGGTGCAAGATACTATATAAAGTGAGTGAATTTTGATTTCTTCCCTTGGTTAATTCAAATGTTGAGATGAACCTGAAGTTGGACGCTTTTGAATGTAGATGCAATCATATCTTAAAGTTCATTATACAGTGTTAATTGTATCCTTTATCTGGTTATGGAATTTTGAGGGGCAGGATGGTGTCCCTCTTCTTTATCTTGTTATTTGACTGGGTATTTGTGGATTCATGGACTGCAAATCAGGTCACTTGGGGCCACATTCGTTTGCTTGGTGTTTCTGTGGCAGAACATTTGTAGAGCCTCCTGACTTTAGCTGTGTGGGTTACAGGTTTTGTTCTTGATTATCTGTGGTAAGAGCACACACTCTGGTGCACACCTACACACAGAATGTCTGGGCTATGTTACCATTACTTTTGAGGTGAGTCCTGCTTAGGTGCGTTGTGGCCTGAGCTGTTACTAAGTAGCAAAACTGTTGTAGAGCTGGGGCGGTGACAAAACAGTAAACTCTGGACACCGCACAAGCTGTGCGGGAGCATCATTTGTAATTCTTGCTCAGTTTATTTAAGCACGTCCAAGAGATGGTGTCTTACTAATACTTGTGTTTGGGTGAAAGACTTTGAGGAGGGCTGGAGGGAAAGCCGGCTGACTCATCAGTGAAAACCAGTGCCATGGGCTCCAGCTGCTTGCCATTCCCATTCAGGCTGGTGGTACTCCAGCCTTGCTGGTCAGCATCCAGTGGGGAAGAGCTCATTCTCCCAAGGGGAATAAGGTGCTTTGTCTTGTTTTAACCTAAAAACTTTCTTGCTAAAAGAGCTTTGCTTTTGTTCCTGTGTAAACATTTTTTGTTAATTTTAAGGAACTGAGTCTTGAAAGAATATCCTTAAACACAAGATTTTAATAGTTTATTAACAATAGTAGATTCCTAGGTAAAGGTACAGTGGTCCAGCCAATCATTTTTACCGTGCTACTTTTTTAAGATCATGCCGTTACATGGTTTTTAAGTTTCTGTAGAAGGATGCTTTACGTAAAATGTCAAGGTATATTTATAGGTGCAGCTGCTTTTGAGTACAGCAACAGGAAAAGCAGGAGTGAAGTGTGGGAACTGAGCATCTTCACAAGTGTGGTCCTTCTGGGTTATTGGTTTATCTGACTAGGTTTTTTTGTTTGAAGATCAAGCTATACTTTGTTTGATGACTGAGAAAAAAAATGACGACGTCAGTAAATGGAGACGAGCAAGCCATTTCCTAGCGATTATTTCCATTCTGAATTTAAGTGAGCTTGTGTTGCCATGAAAAGGGATGCTTTCTTTCTAGACATAGTACTGATGCTGTAAATTAAAGCACAGTGTTTTGTTTGTTTGCTTTTGTGTGAGACAGTCTCACTGTATTCCACTGGTTGGCCTAGAACTCTTGGAGATCTGCCTGCTTCTGCCTCCCAAGTGCTGGGACTAAAGGTGTGTGCCATCATACCTGGCATAAAAACAGCTTCTTAATTTTTTTCATTTATTCAATATACTTTAGATTACTACACATTAATCCTAGCTGATCTGAGACTAGACTTTAATGTCAACAATATTTTAATTTCAGTGAATGAGTGTGCTCTTGGATGATTGGGATTTTCTTAGTTCAAAATGTTACATAGGCTCAATGTGTATGTTTTAATTTAGAAATAAGCTATTAGACTTTCTCTTATTTTACCAGCAAGGCATTTTGGTGGTACCTTCTTTCATTTTAAATTAGAATTTTATTTGAGTACTGTGCGTAAGTCACCTTCTTAGGAAAATCAGGACAATATTAGAAAGCTATAAATAAAAGCCATTCTAAAACTAGTAGGTTTTAGTCATGTGATGTTAAGAGGCAGCTAATTGCTTCTCAAAGTAGCAGTCCTTTCTATGGAAAGAGCAATTCATTCAAAACTGGGCACATTGCAGGAATCTATCACTCACTGAACTTCTCCAGAGATGTTCACCACTCACAAAAAGGTAATGGAGATGCTCGCCACTCACAGATAGACGCTGGAGATGCTTGCCACTCACAGATAGATGTCATGGAGGTGTCATGGTGTCACTCGCCCAGCTGTGCTAGAAGACCCGAGTCCTTTGCTTTTATGTACGTCCCTAGGGTTATCTATGATTTCTTAGAAACTTTTCACATACTAGGTCATCCCATATTAGGGGTGCTTTATCATTCTGATGGGGAGGATTAGATCTCAGTTTGATGGTGGAAACAGTCATAATCATTGTTTCCCTTTGCCCCCAGTGTAAGAAAGCAACAGAGACACTCCTTTGGTGCTTACCTTCTGCAGCTGTGGGTCTCCCACAGGAAAGATAGTCTCTAGGACGAAAGTGGCCAATGTTCATGGATATCTTTTCATCTGCTGTTTCTTGAAGAAAGGGAGTTATTAATCAAAGCAAAGGAAAAGGTGGGAATAGAAGGATGAGCTAGTTGAGAACTCAGAGGGAAGATGGACCCTGGTCTCTGACTCCTAATCCTGTGCTGTGGGAGGTGCCCTTTGTCAGTGGGAGCCTGTAGTACTTGAATGCTCAGGGGATGGGTGGAGTTCCGAAAGCCTTCATCTTTGAGGACAGCACTGGTGCCTGTTCCCAGTTGCAGGGTCCTGGGAAGAACTTTCACTTTGGATGACACGTTGGTATTGACAGGTGGAGTGGGCAAGTTCTAGAAGCTGGAGTGTGGTTTGGCCTTTAAAAAAAAAAACAAAACTTTGGAGGTCAGTCTTCAGAACTACTAACTAGAGGAAAGAACCTCGAAATTCCACCGAGTGGATACATTTTTTTTTAAATTTTATCCTGTGCTGTTCTGGGAATTTGCAGGATTCTAGAAGGTAATGAAAACTGACATTGCCAGGAAGATGTGTCCGCGGGAGACCTGGGAAAGCTGAGTGGCTTTCTCGTCTGCCTCCTCTGTGGCCTCCGTACACAAGCTGTGTGTGGATAACTAGAGCTGAGTCGAGTGGAATGCCCGGGTGCGCTGACTTTCTGTGCTCACCGTTCCCCCTAAATGTCTGTGTACGTATCTTCCCCGCACAGCTCCGACGATAAACGGTCGTCCTGTCAGTGAAGGGCTGGAGCAGAGTGGAAGTTCCGTGCTTTTAAACAGGGTCACCCGTTTGCTTTGTTTACTTTAAAAATTAGCTCTTAACACAAGCTTACAGTTAGGCAAAGAAGAAGGTTCCTGATTCAGAGAATATATTTATTTTATATTCATTTAAAAATGATAATCTATGAAAATCTCTTATCTTAAGATAAACATGTAATTTTATGCTTTGACTGTTTTTTAATGGAAAAACTGATTTTCTGTGTACACTAAGCTAGCCTCGAAATGACGCGCGTATCTATGCATATATAAATACAGAGTTTGAATATTTCTTTTCCGTGTTGCTTTCTAAAACTTAATTCGTGTGATTTATCTTCAAAGGGAAAGGCTAAAAATTGTTGTAAGTGAATTTGCAACTTAAAGTACAGCTTTAAATATTCCATATCCTTACCCAAAATCAAACACGAGCCCACAAAGGACGGAAGATAATCTGCTATACTTGAATGTTGTTAAGCTTCCTGCTTAAGCCTCACAAATATTGCTTAATGACTCTTTAAAGACAGGTCACTGTAGCTTAAAACGGGATGTGTCATTGCCTGTTCCTTTGTGCTCCTAACGTGGTGGCGTTTAAGCGAGTACAAAGCACACCCTCATCCAGTGCTCTGGGGCAGGAGAGACTGTGGGCCTCTCTCATGGGTCACCAGGGAGGAGCGGGCAGACTACATACTTACTTGCACACTGTGCAGTACATGCAGATTCTGTGGGGAGCTTCTCATACCGCCTTTCCCCTTAAATATAATTGAGACTCGTCTAGATATGCAGATAGAACAGTGTATGATTTGGGATAATGAGGTTTCGTTTCCATACCCTCAGTAGACTCTAAAAGGTGGTGAGAATTCCCAAATACCTGCAATGATGGGGTTCCTGGTATGAGATAGTCATTTAAACCTGCCAGCCCGGGGGGGGGAATGCAAAGATGGGACGGTACAGATCCACCACGAGAACATGAGAATACATCAACTCTGTTTGCTATTTACAGTTGCTTTATAGTTGGGTGCTGTAGCTACTGTAACCAGATTTACAACCTTGAGACACTGGTAGCCCAGGATGGCCTGTAAGTCAAGGTGATGATGCTCCTGCCTCAGCCTCCTGTGTGCTGGGATTGCAAGAGTGGCTATGACTAGCTGTTTGCCGCTGGAGTAGTGTGTTGTTTCTGAACAGTCAGTAGATAGCACTCTGTTTCCTCCTGTTTGCCAGGAGAGTTTGCACTGTGATGTACAGCTCCTTCTGTACATTGAGCACCAGGAGAGTTTGCACCGTGATGTGTAACTCCTTCTGTACATTGAGCACCAGGAGAGTTTGCACTGTGACGTATAGCTCCTTCTGTACATTGAGCACCAGGAGAGTTTGCACTGTGACGTATAGCTCCTTCTGTACATTGAGCACCAGGAGAGTTTGCACCGTGATGTGTAACTCCTTCTGTACATTGAGCACCAGGAGAGTTTGCACTGTGACGTATAGCTCCTTCTGTACATTGAGCACCAGGAGAGTTTGCACTGTGATGTATAGCTCCTTCTGTACATTGAGCACCAGGAGAGTTTGCACTGTGACGTATAGCTCCTTCTGTACATTGAGCACCAGGAGAGTTTGCACTGTGACGTATAGCTCCTTCTGTACATTGAGCACCTTGCTCCAGTTCATTAGTACAGCACAGCTATTAGCCCTTACGGAGTTTGTAGCAATAACATGTATCATCAATGGGGAAATGTATAGGGGAAACTCTAATACCTTTTGTTATTTCTTTTAACATAAGTATAAAAACTGCAGACTGAATCTATATATCAGCGATTTCTTTTTTAAGTTTTTACGATGTGTATTTATTACTGTATGTGTATGCTTCTTTTGCCTCCATTTATGTATGGGTTCCATGTGTGTGACCTGGTTTCCACCCAGGTCAGAAGAGGGCATCAG